CACCGTTAGCACCGGCAAACATAAAAATAATTGAGGCTATTAGGATCAGAGAAATCCGTCATATACGTGTATTTTCCAGGTCAAAGTCCTCGATGAAAATGGCAGCGGGTTCTTGTCAGACGTACTAGACGGGTTAAACTGGATTCTACAGCAGGTAGGACCTACGGGGAGAAATCGTCCGTCCGTCATCAACATGTCTTTAGGAGGCCCAAACCCAGGGCCCAGTCCTTCTGAAGTAGCTATAGACGCTCTACGAGACATGGGTGTCCTCACAGTGGTAGCAGCGGGGAACGATGGGATAGACGCCTGCTTGGACGACCCTGCCAAGGTGCCGTCCGCCATAACTGTCGGTAAGTTTATTTTAATATTTATATAAACTGAATATATTAAGATCAAATAAAGGGTTGAGAAGATATTATTTTTTTTTCACTTGTACATGTACCTGTAGACTTTCAAACTAAAATTTAGTTAATAATAAAGAATTGTCAAAATTATTCCTTTAGACAAATATACTCCTTATTCTGTAAAAAGCAGATTTAAGTAATTCGGCAACTGTATCGTTGAATATGAACATCTGAAGTTAGTTTGATGGGTACCTGTAAGTTTCTATATACCTTTTCACCTTCTTCTTGCACAGGCGCAGTGGACAAATACAATCACCTAGCCTCGTTTTCGAACACTGGATCCTGTCTCGACATCTTTGCCCCGGGGGTGTTGGTGGGGGGTCCAAACTACGCACGACCTCGGAAAGAGTTTCAATCTCATATAACGGTACGTACTCGGAAGCTTTATCATAAAATCGAGGTCCTTTTGTACATTTAGCTGCAGTCTTTCCCATATATTTGAAATAAGATCTGAATATAAGTAAGATCGGAATATCTGAAGAAATCCTACAATAATTACTTTTTAAAGAATACACTTTTTCGTTGATTGTTTAACTGTCAAAGTGTCCACTGCACATGCAGTAACGCACCCTTTTGATTTGATAAGCCCTGAACGGATATAATCAAATATCACCACGTGCATGTCTATTACTTCGGAAACGTATTGCTGCGTCTTCGTTTTAACTCATCGTTCGGGATCAGTACCTCGAAATTTTGGCGTAATATATCAAAATTTCAAGTAACAAATTCAAAATCTCAAAATAAAATTTGGACAAAGTGGCAGACGCATGCACTTCTGTAATGTACCCTTTCCCTTTGGGAATGGTATTTAAAACCACCACTAGAGGGACGCTTAAGGCGCAGGCCCCCGATTGGTCAGCCAGCTCACGTGGTGAATTCAAAATAATTGGCAGTTAGAGCCTGGCAGCCGTTAAAGCTGGACAGCGTGTTAGGGTGCTCGAGCCCATTTTGCTTCAATTAAAATCGGCTTAAGCATAAGCGTCGAAGATTTTTGTCTTTTGTCTCCCTGACAATGGCTGAAGAATTCCAATCTTGGGTGGAGGCTAACGAGCTCTCGGAAGATACGGTAGAAATCTTAAAGGATGCAGGATTCTTCTCACTCAGGAGTTGCAAGAAACTCACAGAGCCACTCATACAAAGACATTTCGGCAAATCGCTACCGCTGGCTCAGATTCTCCTTCTCCAAGACGCTGTGCTTGTCCTACAGCAAGAACATGGTGCTCAGCCACAGAACAATCAGAGTCCAGGTACGTCTAACAGTGTATCTACTACAACCTTTACTCCCGAAACTGGTGACAAGAAAACCCAAGACGAGGCCCCAGCCATCTTGCCAGGGACATCCGGGTCCCCTAATATGGCGGCTCCCAGCGCGCAAACGGAAGCAGGAAACACCGGGGACCTCGATTATACCAGGTTATGCCAACTACTAGACATTGGGAACGGGAATGGGAATCAACCAAACAGAGGTCAACACAGAGATCATGACGGTAAGGGGATTTTCGATCCTTTTTCACCTCCAGATAGACAAAGAAAACTTAACAAGCATCGCGACATACGCAGCTATGTAATGTTCTCAGACAAATTTGAAGCAAAACCTGATACACCAGTCCGCATTGGCGATTTACAACTTTCCCTCACCGACAGAAAACTCCCTCTGGAGCGCATCACTCCACTTCAATACACAGAAGCGTCGATGAAAATACTAAGGGAAATGGTAGCCGACGACGGCGCGGACATTCAAACAGTCATGGATTACACCAGCTACGTGACAAAAGTGGCCTGCATGGGGCAATCTTTTAATTGGCAATCAGTCTTACGCTACGACGCAGAGTATAGGAAATCTCAGAGCGAGATGGGATTTCCATGGGGAACCGACAGCCCCTTTCTCATGCAGGTGTTGTTAAAACCGAATCCAACCCAGCCAACAACCAGAGGGAAGCAAACAAAATTGGACACAGGATTCAGGGACGTCATTTTCAGCACCACATGTCGCAGGAGTCATAGCCGCCTATATTTCAACGCTGTCTTCCACGTCTTTCACTGCGGCGTTCGCAAATGGTGTTGAAAATTATATCCTGGCCAACGCCGCTCCTCTTCTACAGGGCGGATCACCTTCCTATACAAATAAGCTGCGTCGTACTCTCTGTACATAGACGGTGCAGCGGTATCACAATACCTACATATACTTTTTTATTTCTATACTCGCCATTCAGTATAGAGAACAGAGAGATATATATTCGAGAATCATAATGGAAAATAATGAAAAGTCAGTGCCTTTTCTGGCAGTGTTTTTACTTTTTGTTACTTGTCAATATTTGATACTTTGCAAATAAAAAAATAATAAAAATAGAAACGCTAGTTGTACGCATTTGGCGCTAGTTGGTCCTTTATGCTGAAGGGGCGTGGTCGTTCGTCAATCAGGGCAAACAAGCGCCAAATTCATTCAACTAACAATAATGTCGCCCTGACAGTATTCACGTAGGTAGTGGGGAATGATATCAGAAATATAGGGTCTATACGTCATTAAGTTATGACGTCACATCGATAAATTTTGAGTTGATTAATACGGTGTGGGTTCCATAATCGTGCTGTTTGCTTTTACTTTCAATTCAGCATTTATGAATCACCCATTGGTTAAATAAGTGAAAATCAAATTGAAAATTGTTACACGGACCACGTTTTAATTTTATAAAGCTCGTATTTTCGGCTTTTAACTTACCTATTTTATAAGTATAAACACATTCTCCTGTTTGTGACGTCATATAGATATGGTTTATTACGTTTGATGAATGTACTGACTTAATGTCTTAACGAAGGAATGATTGGAAGACTTGTAAACTTGTAGTTCAAATTTTCAGACACGACATGTCAGTGCCTAAAAGACTGGTGGCGTACGGCAGACTTAAAGCGTTAAATCGTGTCTCTCCGTTTTAGACGGTCATACCCAGTATGGCAAATTTGCCTATAAAACTTACTAGATTACAGTGCAATTCAACGGTTTTGCTATGCATGTATAATTGATAATTATATAAGTTTATAACGAACGGGAGCTGCTTAAGAGGAAATGGGGCTTTTTACTTTCTATCCCATTTTTTTTTCAAATCGAAAAAATACATTGGGCTTTGGTTTAATAAGAGGAAAAATAGTCCCCGGGAAAGACCCAAATGCTGCTGTTTTGGCTTAAAAGCAAAATATTAAATTAATAAGAAAAAGACCGACTCTTCAATTTATTTGCTATGCTTTTCTGTTGATAAGATAACTCGAACCAACTAAATAGATGCTTTTTAAATATATTTATCACAATAATCAGGACAATACAATACATTTCATAAAATGATGGCAGATTGAAGATAAGTATCTAATCTGCATGTGTGTACTGGACTTATGAGTCCAGGCGTAAATGAAACTTTATACTTAAACGCGGTTAAATAGTCTAGACATTTTATGGTCGGATTGAACAAACATTTAGGTTAATGTTCAACTTAGTATGCACAACGCGAAAATAAATGTAATGGGGTTCGTAAGGAGAAACCGATTTTGTAGAAATCCGTAGAAGCACAAGAGGTGAATGCAGGATACATTTTAAAGGGTATGACTACTTCCTTTTGTATAGGAAAAGTGCCATAACACGGATTTTCCTAGGGCAAACGACAATTTCCCCATATATTTCAATAGTCACTGAATCCGTTCCGACATTCAAAGTTAGACGGTTGTTTTTTTCAATGTGGAATTCGTAACAATTTCGAACGAGATTATTACACATGGTAAACATCTATGAATATCCACGTGGTCTGATGACAAGTACACATTTAAGAATAATTGCGATAACCGCTGTTTCGATAGTAAAATAGAATTTATTATGTTTATATGTGTTGTTAAGTATGTTTTACTTGTGGGATTTTGAATCTCATATGAAGAGTTGTTATCCCTTTAATCATGTTTGCAGTTTTGAAAAAAATATTGTTTCGATAACTTACGCAGGCCTCCTCAAGACTTTTAACAAGTTACAATATACAATTAATACTAATAATACAAATAAAGTTAAGTTATGAGAATGGAGGGTGTAGAGAAGAAAACAAGTAAATATAGTAGAACAGTCGCACACAGGCCATATTGAAAGGTGTTTTGTTCAAATTCAGACTCAAAGCATACTGCGTTTGTAAAAGTATAGTTCTTCGGTTCCAGAAGCTGCATCAACACACAATTCAGCAAAACAAACAAAAAATACCCTTAGATTATAAACAAAGAAATATTTGAAAGCAGACGGTCAATATCCCAATACCAGAAATAAATAAGCCGACTTCAGGAGAGCCCGATGCCCCACCGAGGCAAACCATACGGCAGACATCAGACTCCAGCGTGGTTAATTACTGTGAATAACACAACGCACGTGATAGATATTTCTCAATTTTCAGGGAAATCAATTGCAGAAATGAACCAGCGAAACCTCACTTCCGTAAACGTGTAGGTATTATCGAATGAAACTCAGTGAACGCTAGCAGCCGGTTAACACAATATCAGTCCGACGTGCCACGTTTGGGGCCCGCCATGGCGCAGTGTGACCTTTGACCTCTTTATACGTCGCTGAGTATCAGACAGAACCTCAAGGAATGTGTCATGTCAGTCTTATAGACTGATAATCATTTAACAAATTGTTATATTCTAGGAGATGACAAGGCTGGGTTAAAATGTGGAGATGTTACTTAAGTATAAATTTATAACCGGTAACTCTGAAGAGGCAAGGACAATATTGAGGGAATGACTTAATTGAGACAGCCAACACGTTTGATGGTGATAAAGGAGTCTTCATATTTTCTACCTCGGCTTGGCAAAAATTTACTTCAAGTTATAGAATTCGCGCAAATTTGGTCACTATAAACTAAGATTTACGATGTTTTATATCATTCCGAATCATTTAGAGTATTTCGGGGGAATATATCAGCGAAGAAATATCAATCAATCGGAGGAATAACTTCCACTGATACTCAGTACATCATCCGAATCTTGCGGTCTAGAGGGTGTTCTCAGGCTTGGCTAGGGGTTAACACAATGGCGATATTGGGACGTGTATGGAGAAAACACGTGAAGACGCTGTTCTTTATGTACGTCATAGCGGTCCTTTGCCTGTTCAAAGTGTTTCTGGACGTCTCTCTTATTGGCGATCTTTCACAGTGGGAAGATGTTGGTGAGTATAAACCCCTGTATATTTTGACCGAGTTGAAAGTGATACTGTAATGATATTCAACTCAGGCTTAAGAAAAAGAAGCAATTTTTAAGTGTGTATGTTTGAGATTGTGTGTGCAGGGGGGGGGGGTGATTATCTTTTAATTTTTTTACGGGGAAGGGGGGCTACCGTATTGTTTTACTACCCACACATTGCTTTTAGCAAGATAAAACACTTATTGCACAGCTTTTCCCAAAATGGAAATTTCCTCGACACCGTCTTACTAAACCTAGTTCTGTTCCGTTCTGTGACACGCACTTTGTCTACTGCTATAAGAAAAGTTAAATTTATTGCCTGATATTCGCAGCCTTTCACCCATTTTCCTTCTGTGCTCTCTCTTCCTCAGTTACTCGATTCTTCCATCCCACTCATCCTATCTCTCTCTCTCTCTCTCTCTCTCTCTCTCTCTCTGTGTGTGTGTGAGAGAGAGAGAGAGAGAGAGAGAGAGAGAGAGAAAGAAAGAGTTTATTAAAGAGTTACAAAGTAGTTATTTCAAATTCCAATAGTTTTACTGTAAGTCCTAAGACATCAGACGCACTTTTCATCCCATGCTCTAGTTAAACAACCTGTCTTAATGCGCATTATGCTCAATATCCGTGCCAGTTAATTCTGCATAGTATTCCCATTATAAAAGCTTCCAGACTGAACGGAAGCAACGGGGTTTATCACGATATGAAGACAAGTTTTTAAAGGACTAAAAAATACCAGAATCCCCAGCTGAGTTATTCTGCCAATGTCTCATCACTTATTTATTGATTTGGTCTATCAACAAAGTTCAATTTAACATTAGAATGTAATGATAAAAATAAAATAATTGTCCATAGTCTCATTTCATGAGAATTGCCTTCGCCAAATGTCTCGAGATTTATCTAAGACAGTAGGACTTTAACTGCTCGACGTCAATGGGTAAGTTTTTTGTGTGTGTGTTTGTGTGTGTGGGGGGGGGGGGGGGGGTTGAAAGAACCGCAATGTTGACCGTGGGAGATTCGCCTTAACAAAAATGCCCCTCAAAGTACGTCTTTATTACATTTTAGTCCTCATGAATTAACCGTTTACTTTCCCAGAGGCCGCTAGGGGTCACTCGCATCGGAACACCTCGAAGCAGACGACAGACAAGGTTCTCATCATAACGTACCAGCGCAGTGGCTCCTCCTTCCTGGCCGAGCTCTTCAACCAGAACCCCGAGGCGTATTACCTCTTTGAGCCTCTCTGGGGGTTCTATAACTCTGTTGATAAAGACAGGGCGGAGTATATGTTGTACTATCCGGATAAATCTACAAGGTACCGTTACCTGATATTTATCTCCGCCAAGGAGGTAATGTTTTCACCCCTGTTTGTCTGTCTATCTGTCTGTCTGTTTGTCATCAATATAACTCAAAAAGTTATGAACCGATTTTGATGAAATTTTCAGGGTAGGTGGGAAATGGGTTATCTTAGAAGTGATTAGTTTTTGGTGGTGATCCGGATCAATTATAAATCAATAATCAATAATAATAATAACTTGCGGCCTTGGCGGAGGTCTGCGCTCTCGGAGTGCTGTTCTAGTTCTTAATGGTGGTACATGTAGGCTCTGTTGCGTTTGATCTCTCTTTAACTTTGATCCCCCGATCATTTCTTCATTTATTTAATCTTCATTTGCTCATTGATATGTATTATATATATTTCATATAATGTATTTTGCTACAGTTATCTAATTCAAATGAAACGTTCAGTTCTGAACAAGGACTGTTTTCAGTGATACAAACACGGTAGTTTTGGTTTCTAAGTGCTATCAATAACCAAACTTTTTTTACTCCAAATATTCGGCTCCTGGCAAAAACATGTAATCCTGCCTAAACCTCCCATCCTCTGAATTTTTTTGCATTATCTCTAATTGCAGGAAACCTCCAGAACGAGGCCTGGAATACAACATGTCCCTGGACATCATCCACAGCCTGCTCACATGCCAGCTGGACCGAGTCCCCATGCAGATCCTGGCGCCAAAGGGGCTCCACCATCCCTTCTTCACGGACGAGAACAGACACAAGTACCAGGACAAGTAAGTTCAGTTCGGTTGCCCATGGCGGGTCCTTGGAGAATAAAGAAAGAAAGAAAGAAAGGTGTGGGAAGGAGCAAGTCCTGTGTTTCTTGATTGACCCAGTTTAGCTAATTTTATATTACATACATATACCTACGAGCATACGAGTTTACGGCGATGGTTGGTATATAGGTAGGTTGTGAACCTGATCGGTGACCAAAGGCGAGCCAAATGAGTTAAGAAAAATAGGTTTGATGATGGCAATGATAGTGGTAGGGAGTGATGCTTGTACTGGGACATGTACATGCATACGGTAGCTGCCTTTGTTTTGTAACATGTTCCTTTTATATGCCTTTCTTAATGCTCGTCCTGACCACCACCTCCCCTAATTTAAGCTTCCGTATACATCAAAGTTAAAAGTTGCTGGACACTGTGTACTGTAGTGAAGACGGTCAGTTATGACCAGGATTTCTTAAGGCCCTCAATTATAATATATAATTTTCATTCTTTGTACATAACACTTCAGGTACAAGAAGTGCATTCTTAGAGCTAGAACAAGGTCAAAAGATGTGGAATGCGTCCCCCTCATGAAAGACGTGTGCAACAAATCAACTTTAAAGGCATTCAAAATGTTGCGCCTTCGCATGAAGCACCTTCCTCAGCTGATGGAACTACATCCGGGTCTTAAGATCATCCACTTGGTTCGAGATCCTCGCGGGATCTTGTGGTCTCGCAGACGACTCGGTAGACAGTATTTCAGAATGTCGACGGAAAACGAGGGAAGCATCTTATGCCTCTCAATGCTGCAGGACATACAGGCGCGAAAAGAACTGGAGAAAATTTACCCTGGACGATTTTTACAAATTAGATACGAGGATAACGCGGCTAAGCCCACTGTGGCTGCATTTAAAGTTTATGACTTCTTAGGATTTAACGTTCCACGCCCAGTCAACGGTTGGCTTCTAGACAGCATAACTCCCGTTGAAATGTCTAGTAACGATAGAGAGGCTAGGAGAAGGATAAGAAAAATGCGCTCTTCTTTCAGCACGGTGCGCAATGACCCTAAAAAGACGTCACACATGTGGCTAAGGCAAATGCCCTCTCACATGGCCTACGAGGTAGATGAATATTGTAAAGAAGTTCTGGAATATCTTGGGTATGAAAAAGTGTCAAAATTGCTCCAAAATGAGACATTAATGCGTTCTTTAGGGCCTGAAAAGCCAAAAAGTATTGCACATAATTTTGGTCAACCTAACATGCGGATACCTAACGACGGAGTTGTAGTAAAAAGAAGGATTCTTCCGGATCCTAACCCTGATCCGGACGAGGATGAGGACGAAGAGAGTGTGACAAAAGCAAAACGCAAAACTAAAGTGTGGAAAATAGTTAAAAATGCAGCTGGCAAAAATGTAGTGGCGAATCACGGTAGAATAACTAGCTCTCAATCCAAAAAGTCTCCCAACGTTCGGACGAAGGCATAGTTTTATTTGTATATTTATTTTCAAACCCCATTGGGGAACTGCCCTGAAGAAAGCTGAAAACTTTTGTTATATTTTATTTCTCTAATATCCGTATCGGGAAATGGATCTCTGCTTGAAAATGAAAGTAGGCCTAAGATATCAGTATCAGTTGCTTACGAATGTGATTAATAGTACACATACGTAATAAAACAATGTCCATCGTAAATGGATGTACTGTATTTAATTCAAACACATTACCCTCACAATATTTCTATATAGGGCCTATACTTCCATGTACATGTACTAGTATGTTCTATACATAAAAATATTATTAAAACAGAACCGATAATTTCCCCTATTTAATCAAGGATTTTTTCGATAATCATTCACACATCGAATATACATATGTATTATAATACAGTCCCATATAATGAAGTCGGAGATTTTGAACAATTTATTGACACTTTATCACAGGTCCCTGGTAAGGATTGCCGGGGGGGGGGGGGG